ATTCAACAATTTTCCAGTTCCATCCTTTTAGAGTCAAAGTAAAGGTGGCGCTATACCTGCTTCTGAATATTTTTCTAAGGAGCTGTGGTTGAATGTATTGGGAACACGACTTAAGTATAGCTGAAGGCTGGACAAGTTATTTGCCGTTATCGAGAGTATGTACAAGACTTGTACATTTATATCGTAAATATTTGAGATAGAAATATTAACTTCTGTTTTAACATAGTTTTAGATAACAGAAGGTCCTTCAATTTTATTATAATAAAATTTTGTATTTGAAAAAACAATAACCACCATATTCCTACTTAACACAAAAAAGTTATACAGAGAAATTTGTGACAATGAATTAGATAGATGAATAATTTATTGATGTCAGGATGTAATGATCGGGTATCTTTGAAATATTTTGTCCATTCCTCAACCTTAAACTAACTAAGACCAGTGTCAAGATAGAACCAACAACTTTTATTTAGTTATCCTGTAAATTAGTCTTGTTTTATTTTGCACAACATAATAGTTCTTGTAGACTATCTAGACTAGATAGTTCTCAACTAAAGATATAGATACAGATGTTCCGTTACAGCGATACCGTCGTGTTTCCTTATCTACAGGATGTTTTCTATTGAATTCTTTGTATTTGCTTCGCTGCAAGATATGTCCGTATAAAATGCTCGATGTTATTGAGGACAGGTCAAAAGTAGCTCAACTTAAAATGAAGCTGTAATTCATTTTGTTCCGACTCCATTTAGAAAATGGAAATTTCTCTTCTATCTTGCACAAAACCAGTACATTTTCGCAGTACTCATTTTCGTCCTCATCCTCGCTGCAAAATACATGATAGTACTTAGCGAATGTGCATCGATCGTCGAATTTCGAGACCCAAAGCTAATACCGGAGCATTGTGGTCGGATAATAATCGCTGCATTGTCGTGAGCAGGGATATGATCTCGGATTACCAAAGCAATTGCCGGGACATAGCTGCGAGGCTCAACTCTTCGTACACCGCTCTATATTGATGCCGGTCTGCTAATCTGTTAAGCTGCGATCGCGAGAGATACACCTAATGTACGGGTATTTACAGTATAATTAGTGGACTCGGGTCCGGCCTGATTACGTGGAAATAGATTGATGTGGAGAATAAACCAATTCAGAAGCGCCGGGATTATAGATATCTGCACGTATTAATGAGGGTGATTTCCCGTGGTCGTTACATTTTATTGGTATTTTCCGCTTGTTCCTTTCCCTGTGTTTTCGTTTCTTACGTGTAGGATTTTATTGAAGAAGGTAAAGTTATGTGGGTGTCTTAGCTGTCTGATGTACGGTAATGGTATTATTTTTCATGGGGAATGTTGAGTCGGGTGTTTTTCAATTGTTTTAGCGTCTACTAAGTAATGGGGAGTGCGGTGAGTCAGCTATATGTAAGCGGATGTAATGTACATACGTGTAATATAGCAAATATGCCATAACCAAGTCATCTGGAAGATTCATCGCTTGCCAAATTCTTCCCTACTAGGTTTATCCAATAGAGTAAGAAACCAAAATATGAGGATCTCAAATCAAGCACCTGTAGTAAGAGAAAAAATAAAGTGTCCCTGACACATGAGTCCGGTATTAACCATAGTTTTTGAATATTTGAAGTTTCAATTAGTCGAACTTTGTATTTTTAAATTGCAACGTTTTTGTCTATACCTCTAGTATATTATTTTCCTTTAAGTTTAACAGTAGTTCAGAAAACTATTAGAGATTTTCTCAGTACCAATATGCTCCTGTCTGATACAAAACCCGCTTTCAACGATTCAATAGAGGGACAAGACATAATCTTGAATTGTATTCAATGTTCCGAAGTTGTGTCCATAACTGTGTCGCTACATGTGGCGAATACACTGGCGAGCTAAGCTTGTTCATATATTCGAAATAGTGAACCGTTATCTTTTATCTCTTAAGCTTGTGTATTTTCCAATCGTTGTGGTCTGAAGCTTAATCGATGAGAGAGATTATCGCGTAACTTCTATTTGACCTCCTAAAAGTTCATAACTTAACTAGTAAATATTAATTTAAATTATCAACAAAATACCAATACTTTGACGGACGCGGGTATTGGACTTGCGATATGTTGGGCATCAGCTGACTTATTACTTTTTTAATAAATAATTGTTTATTGTAAAAAATTTATTAAATAAAAGTATATTTTCCCACCGTACAATGTTCTGTTCCCTATGCATTTTATTAACATTTTTCCAAATGTGCCCATAATTTTGCTCCTAAGTGTTAAGTAGTTGGAGAAAAGACTCAGAATACAACGACTATTGATTCGTAACGTATCGGTCTAGACAGGAAATGATAGGGGACTTGAAATAGGTCCCTAGACATCAAAGCCAGGCGATGCACAGGAAATGTGATACTTTCGTAAGGGTCCCTTTATTTTGTGATAAACTGCGTGGTACGTATGTAAATGTACTTTCGTTTGAGTTGGGTTGATAAGGAATACGTTTTGCTTTATGTATATTTTGAGAAATTTGAGATTCTGATGTTTAAATTCATTGAGTATTGTCACTTATCAATTTCTAGTAGGTGTTTATGAATTAATTTATTGACAAACCTGAATTGATTTGAATAATTGTTCAGTTTATAAATTTTGTAGAACTCGTAGAAAGCTTATTTAAATGAATTCTTATTCTCTATCTTATATACTATATAGTATTCAATATTACCTTAAGATAACAAAGAAAAAAGAACCAAATTTCACCCTAAACTGACATGAATTTTTCTCACATTCGATAGTACCTACAACAGTATTGAGCAATAATCACGTGTGACGTCCCAAGCCGTCCGTTCCTCTTACTCAAGACGTTGCCTCGAACGTCGCTGTCCTGTCGGTCGTACGACGCGTACGTGATATTCTGAACGACGCCGAACATTTACACGTACGCTTGAACCAAAGAATTTGTGTAAAACTGCGCAGTTTTTACTACTGTTATTTTATTATTATCGTTCTTTGTCGAAGGGGTAAAGCACATGCTATGTAGACAAATACAGGGTGTTAACGAAACGCTCCCGGAAAACGCTGACAAAAAATAGTTTTTATAATTTTAATGGTTTTTGTTTACGTGTGATTCAATTCATGCTACATCAGTATTATTACTGGGTATAACTATTATTACATGAAAGAAACGTTTCATTCCTTAATTATAATATGAAAATAAAACTTATTTTTGATCATCACCTGTTAGCATTTTTCGGCTTATGTTTATGCTCTGTATAAACACAAGTCTGTAAAACATCTTTTAGAATCGAACTTAGATTTAAGTTCAAAGAATCATACTTAAAAACAACTAAGCCAAGACAATAGGTACTTGAACAAAACCAAAATAATAATTTATTTTCTTATTTCGTCCCTAAATGTTGTAACATTTTTATCTTCGAACTAATCCGATACCCATCGAATTTTTCTCCTGAATTATTTCTTATAAAATGCTTTTATTCGGTGTTAAACAGACAAATCGGATTCCGAATGGATTAGCTTGTCGCTATAAATCTTATTACGGGACACTGTAAGCTTATTTGCATGGTTTAAATTTGTGAAGTAGCGGAATGACTGATGAGCACTTAGAATAAATTGGCCATGATGGAAGTGTGCCTTTAGAGAGCACTTAAATAGTGCTCTAGTGGCCTTTAGTTCGATGTCTTTAGAATATCGATTTTTCATTGTCAACAAAACTGTCATTGATCGGATGATTTCATATGTGTGTGCGTTACCTTAACTATGTATAAATTACATAAGAACTCTGTTTAGTTCACTAGATAACTTTTACTCATGATTAACAAATACAGATTGAGAGTGTTACCAATATAAAGATGCGCCCACATTTGGCAAATGTGCCACTCATGAGTCGTTTACGGGCTGCCCGCGAGTTGCGCCCGTGCATGGTTTGGTGCTCAACTCATATAAGGTTCGTATAAATATAATCATTTTAAATGCACGTGGGCGCCTCGCGAGCTGCGAATTCGCGGTGCATTCGTCAGATGTAGATACATCCTTATATAGCATTTGTTACACTGCATGTTTTGGCTTGTGTTGTCTGGAATTATGCCCGGTATATGGCAATAGGCTCATCCCCTATGACATGGGACTCGTAACATAAATAGTGAAAAGTGGGTGTAACATTGTATAGTGGCATAATGTACACCTCTGCCTACCCCTTCAGGGATAAAAGGCGTGATGTTATATATGTATGTGTCCATAAATCACCCACTGAGAAATTGGTGCATGAATATTTTTTTTTTAGATTTGATTGGCCGACATTTGACCACTATCTCGCCCGGTGGTAAGTATCATTTTCTAAGTGATATAATGTCTTTTTTTCAACGTCCTTGTTATACTATAATCGGGATTCTTTTTATTAATGGGAGAGTTGGGAAAGAAAATGAAAAACTGTTAAATAAATTACTATTTGGGTATCTACTGCTTGTTTAACTCTGGCTTCATGTCCCTTTTTAAAAAGAGAGCCCTTTGCTTCGCCACAGCAGTTCTTGCAGCATTTCAACTCATAATCTACGGGGGATCTGGAAAAATAACTTGGTGTTAATTAACAATTTCTGTATTGTTGTAAAAATAAATAGGAAGTGATTTTTTTTGGGTTCGTTATCAATATCTGATTACACGGTTATTCTTTTATGTGATCCACCAATTGTTGTTTTGGTTTTGGGTGTCATGTGTATGTGAATTTGTATGTTTGTAAACCCACGACAAGGGAGAAAATCCCTTACAAAAGTAAATAGAAACAGGCTGATGATGATGGAAAGAAGACTTACCATAATAAATAACTACATTATTTGTAAGTTGTGTTTAATAAAATGTAATTGAATAAAAACACATAAATACTTATAAAAAAGTAGTAGGGAGTTACAGTATTGAAGCACATTTTGAGGGGGGCGAAATATGCCGTAATTTTCTATAGAGAATATTTTGGAAATGAGAACACACAAATATTGTAAAATTTTTATTTTTTATACAAATATTTGTTTCTTGGTGATGCAGAGGACGAGTGCGGTTTGTTTTCCGAGCCGGTGCAGCAATTTTTACAGCATTTCCAATTTATATCCTTCTCCCTGTAAGTATAAAATACATTTTTGAACGGCTTCTAAATTTAGAGTAAATAACACCACCAATCTACATAAAACGATACCCTTCCAACAGTCGGGTAAAAACAGGGATGGATAAATTTAATGAATTAAATGATATATTTTTTAATAAAAATTATATACACAGTATACAACTGTTGGGTTTAAACTGTCAAACACCGAGCGGTCACCGGTGACCGCAACCTATTGTTCTTTAACTGTGTCTATAATGATGGTACTCAACGTGTTAAACTACATTTTTTACTTTGTATTCATACCATAACTCCCATAGAATAGAGGTAGAGAACAGAGAACCAATTTTTTCAGTAGAAGAAATACCAGAGACGTATGTTTTTCGACAACCTAAAAATGTAGTAGAATTTTAAGTATCATGATAGTGTATGATAGCTTTAATATTTTTTTGTAATACCACGGTGGCAAACAAGCACACGTGCCACCTGATCGTAACTAGTTACTCCGGCTATAGGCGCTTGCAACACTTGTGGTATTATGTACATGCGCCCTGCCGACCCTTAGAAAACCTATTTATTTATTTAGTCTTTAATGTACACAAATTGATTGAATAGTGGCACATTAGGGGAACTAAATGCCATGTAGCATTCTCTACCAGTCACCCTTTTACTCCGTTCTTAAAGAACCCCATATAGTTTTTATGCGGTTTTCCCAAAGTGGCCCTTTACTTGCTGTACTTTAATCATCATCACTAAATAAGTAAACTAAATACGTAGATTACACAGATAAAAAAGGAAATATAAACCATCCAATGAAAATAAACCACAGACGAAAAAGGAAATAGACAGCATGACAGAATTTAATTTCAAAATTAATGCAGAATTATCTACCAGGTGGCGTATTTTTAAGCATAATATCAAGTGAATGAGAGCTCTGAGAACAAAATGCGCCGTAATTGACAGCTTTGATACGCTGCACCTCAAGCTAACCAAAATATCTTCAGCGCACTTTCAACTTTATCACTGAATTTTAAAGATGAAATTTCGTTAAAGATTTGAAAGTTTTCGGATAGGTTGAAGTGCTAGTGTCTGTATTTCATCTTACTTATGTCTAGTGTTTAGTAGTTTATTTTTTGAGAGGTTACCTAGAAAAGTCGATAGCGTAATAAGATTGGATTTTAAGTGTTTTTTGAAGTATTGGATTGGCAGTTGCTACAGAAACTATATTGTTTTAAATGCTTTTAGTATAGAAGAGAGTACTTGATAGGTACTATGATAACATTATATTATTATGTTTAATAGTATAATATGGATTATCTGTTTGATACAATAATAAAGAATAGCTGTTTATTTGTCTAGATAAGGCCTAGTTGTAAGATAGATTTTGTATTAGTGCCCAATATTTGGGAAAAGCATATCATGTAATACAGTTATTTTTTTTTGAAACAATTAAATTTGTGATTTCAGCCATAGGTTTCATTTTATTATATTTGAATTGGTTTCTCTCAATTTCCAATTAATAAGTGAAGAAAAATAGGTAGGCAAATAAGGTAATACTGACATAAAACTTTTTTCACAATAATCATTAATCAAGTTTTTTTTTAATTTCTTTTCTGGTTTAATGTTCTAGTTGTTTTCCGGAAAGTTGCGAATTAAACAAACGAATAAGGAAAAGTCATGAATTTTATAAAATCCTCCATTCATCAGTATTATCATTATAATTACATGAGATGATGATAATGAGTTTCAATGTTAACATTCAGGAAAGAATAGAGGAAAATGTGTAAAAATTAAACCTGCCCCGAATAGAAATTATGTTTTTTTTTTACATAATTTAGTTATTATTGTCTGGTTTGTTGTTATAATCAATGAACACCATACTTGCTACATTTCAAAAAAATCTCAACAATTATTATTATATTATACCATTTATTTCCCGCGAGTGTGGGAGAGCCATGCATCGGCACTAAGCGTGGGACAGCCATGCTTCAGCGCGAATGGGCCAGCTCGACCGGAGTGATACCACGGCCTCACAGCAAACGGACGTTCCCCATTCCCCAAATTCCCAATAATCCTTAAATTCGTAATCCACAAAAGGCCGGTAACGCACTTGTAACACCTCTGATGTTTCGGGTGTCTATAGGCTGCGGATTACTTACCATCAGAGGAACCGTCCATCTTCTTATTCCATAAAAAAATCTCCTTCTCCTAACAATTTTTTAAGGGGGAAATTCATCGAATGACTGTTCCCACTTGGGTGAGGCTGGAGGGAGTGTTGCTGGACTCTTACTAACTAAAAACCACCGCGACTTCTCCTACCAATACGTAAACAATCAAAGACATCTTAAAACTAAAATACAAATTTCTTACAACACATTCCAACATCATCGAGAAACAGGAGCCGCTTAAATCAACTCCAGAGCCGAGTCAAGTTTTGAAATAAGGCAGCAATGTGCGATCAACGTCACTCACATCTGCAGAACCGATCCATCCGATCTTGTCACTACCAAAGCCATTCTTCACGAGAACGCGGAAATAAAATGAGTCGACGGTAACTACCCAGTCAATTTGAAGGTGACTTCTTTATCAGATTGCATCAATTTTGATATTTTCTCTCCGTTTTTTTTGGAAATGGTAGTTTAATTTTTTTTTATCGAATACGTTTAGGCAAACGAGCCACCTGATGGAAAGCGATCAGCGCCGCCGATGGATACCCGCAACACCAGAGGAGTCACAGGTGCGTTGCCGGCCTTTTAAAAAAAGAATACGCTCTTTTCTTGAAGGTTTGAAGGTCGCTATTATACGCTATTAGAACGGTTAAGGAATTTGTACGAAAAGTATCAACCACGCAAGTATAAACTCCATCTTGTATATAAATACATACATATAATTGAGAGTTATATATTAATAGCACATGCACCATTTATTTAGAAGTTTCATAAGTAAGTATATAGAACGAGGTATACATATTTGCTTGTAAAGCTTTTGTACTTTATAATATTATGTTAGCAAAAGTTTTATGTAAACAGCTGTAGATCAAAGCATCATAGCAGAAAGGTAAGTCTCTTTGAGCTGCATGGAAACAGTTTCTACCACAGGTAATACAAACAAATCTACGCTTCCTATATACACAGTACGATGAGCTTAGAGAAAGAGGTCGTTTTCTGTGTTAATTTTGTACTTTGGTTATGTATTTTGATCTTTGAATAGAGCACTTCGCAATATTTCTTTTTATGGAATAAGCCGGTAAACGAGCAGACGGATCATCTGATGGTAAGCAATCGGCGCCGATGATGAACTCCCAAAATACCAGAGGTATTTAGAAGTGCATTACCGGCCTTTTGGAGATTACAAATAAATGTTATTTGTGATCTCCTATTGTACAAATAAATGTTATTTGTGATATCGTCTGACAACCTGTCAAAGGAACAACGACTACGGTGGATTTGAAATCACAAAAACCGGGGGAGTATTGTATTTTTCTTCCATTTATTATTGTTATAACATAGTTAACGGTGTACAGTGTGGCTATAATTGGAATACAAACACCACTTTCAAGTCTACTCTACTCAAGTCTTTGAGTAACGTCCCGTACACACCGGCACCGTTTATGTCTCCTTTTGCTTGACAATAAGTGGAAGCAGAATCGATCGACTAAAACATAGCCCAGACAAGTAAAAACACTACATAATTGTCTGCACATTAACACATTAGACCACTACCATACTGAAATTTCAATATATCTACTAGGTACTAGTCTACCCACTGAACTTTATTTTGTTTTCTGACCTTTCATACTAAGTACTCATTACTAGTTTGTTTTGTTGTAATATTTCTTTCTATTACTCTGTAATCATAATAGTTTCAATCTGTTTGCATTCCATTTATTAATCCTCTTACTTAAATTTACCTTTTTATCTAAAATATTTTTATTTTCGGTCTACCTTCATTGTCCACAAACAAGTATTATTTTCTTAAATTATTGCCAACACTTAGCTTTTATTTCACATTTCAGGAAGTGAGCTATACACCAGCAACATGATGACACGCAGGGCTACCACCGTAAAGGACCTAGAAGACAAACTGCGGCTGACACTAAAGGAACTGGAGACTTCAAAACAGCTATGCAGCCAACTATTACAAGAACGAGAGGATAGTGAAATCGAAGTTAAGAACATAATCGATAAGAACACATCCCTCAAGAACGAACTGGCTGAATTACATGTCCAGTATATGGACATACTCGACCAACACAACCAGCTGCAGTACACCGTCTCTACGTTCCAGGAGTGTAGTGATACACACTTATCAGCCTTAAACAGAATTGCCGAACTAGAGTCTGAATTGTGCGATGCCCATAGGATAATCTCTTCCTCGCAAATAAAGAAATTTGAAGAACAAAATACACACACTCATACATTGTTCGATGAGTTAGTAGGTAGTAGATTACACTGTGAGATACCAGAGCCAGTGACAATTGATCTGACTGGTGACGACACTGTACACATATGCCCCTTCAAATCACACAATAAATTAAAAAAGTATATTAAAATTAATAAGTTAATTAAACGAACTCAGAAATCACTTAAAAAACATAAATTAAGAAAAGTGAACCTGAGTCTAAGAAAAGATAAAATTAATTTAATTAGAGATCTTCGATCTTGCACCACTGAGCTTGACCGCTGTAGATTAATGTATGACTCAAACATAACAAGCCTTCATAATGATTTAATGACAAAGGAAGGTATGTTGAGGGAGATATTTGAGAAATACAAATATTCCCAACAACAGTTGAGTGAGCACCTGCTTGTGGCCTCTGAGCTGATGGATTTGGTGAAGAGCAACGCAGAAAGGTATGAATCCTTAGCAAATAACCTAGAATGCAGTTGTGTGAATCAACCTCAGACCCCGGAGGCTTCACTTTTGCTACCTACTCAAGTTGCAATAAATACCCTACCAAATAATACAGCAAATTATAAAACACATGTCTACAGTGATGAATTAGGTTCTGGATTTGGCCAAATGCTGTATGGTCATCTTAATCAAAGTTTTATAAACAACAGTTACCACAACATGAGTTATAAAAATATTATTAAACAAATAACTCATGCAGATTTAAATGAAAAGTCAGTTTTAGTTTTAATGTTAGGTAACAGCTTAGGAGTAACAAGAGGGGACATTGTGAACGGTGTGGACACCTTGTTGAACTTGAACATAGGGAAGATAATATTGTGTGCCTTCCCATATTCTAATACTTTACCACATTCTAAGAACAAATACATAGGTGTACTAAATAATACACTACACCAAATGACATGTCGCAATGACAGACTTTTATTTTTTGACACTAATAAATTTATTAGTACTTTTGTTTTTACAAAGAAAGGTATACACCTTTCAAAAAAATGTCGACAAAAAATTGCTATGCTGATAGCATATAATATTAACACTGTTATACCTTGTATAACAGAAAATAGTTTTAAGGACGAATCTGTGTTGTCTAGAGTGTCTAACAGCACAGAGGCACATTTTAATTTAAGTTTAAACTAGATTTTAAGACAACAGAACATACCTTCATAAATCATATAAATAATAAGGTATATTCTGGCAAGGAAAAAGCACAGAACAATTATACACAGGGGCAGCACAATCTACAATTATTTTATATTAACATTCAGGGCTGCTCCTCAAAAGTCTTTGAATTAGAGATGTTTCTGGAAAAGACTAAATTTGATGTAATTTGTCTATCAGAACATTGGTTTAAGGAGGACCAACTAATATCTTTAAATTTAGATAATTACAATGTAGTTAGTAATTTCAGTAGAAAGCATATGTTACATGGTGGGTCCTTAATATTAGTAAAAAATAGTATTAAATCAAAAGGAAGGAAAGATATTGTAGCACTGTCAGTTGAACACACCATTGAGTTGTCCTGTGTTGAGCTAGATAGACATGTTATTGTCTGTGTGTATAGGCCACCTAACTATCAGAATCTTACAGTATTTGATTCTGTCATGGAGGATGTTTTAAGGAAGGTTTGTTCTAGTCACAAATCAGTAATTATATGTGGCGATTTTAATATTAATTTATTAGAAAATAGTACTAGTAGTATGGAATTGTTAAATTTATTTGGATCATTTAATTTGAAAAATGTTTTTTTAGAACCAACAAGGATAACATCTTCTACCGCCACCTGTATTGATAATATTTTCTGTAATTGTGACTACAAAGAAAAACATATTATAAATAGCTTGCCATCCGACCACTGTGGACTAATGGTTGCGTATAGCTCTTATTTACCTATCTTAAAAATTCAAATAAGATTTAGACAAATCACGTTCAAAAATCTGGAGAAATTGAGCAATTCTTTAGCTACTAAATTATGTATGAAAGTATTTGATACTAGTAATCCGAATAATTTCTACAACGATTTCTTTGAGATGTTAAACAAGGAATTTAACAATATTTTGCCAATAAAAAATAAAGATATTCATACCAAATTCGTATTTAGCGATTGGGCAACTGTAGGTATTCGTAAGAGTAGGGACAGACTTTTTGAACTTTATGGAATGAAACCGTACAAAAACGACCCCCAATTTCACCAGTATGTAACATCTTATTCAAAAACCTTTAGAATAGTATGCAGAGTCGCGAAACGTCTTTATATTAGTAATAAAATAAAATCGTCTGATGATAAGATAAAAACTACTTGGAAAGTTATACACAACGAGACTGGTAGGAAAAGATTAAGAAACTCAGAATTTAATTTAAATACCGAAAGGGGACAGATTTCATCAAACGTAGATGTAGCCCAGGAGTTTGAACATTTTTTTACTAACATTCCTATTAAAACAACTGAACATTTAAAGTCATCAGCAAACCTATCTGTAACTTTGCTTAAGAACAACATAGAATCATGTCAATACGACTTTAGTTTTCGATATACGAATCCTCTAGAAATTATAAAAGTTTTTAAAGAAATCAAGACCAAATCTACGGAGGATCTTTGGGGCTTATCGGTAATAGTTTGCAAGTCACTTATCCAAACTGTAGCGCCATATCTGGCTGTGATTTTCAATAAATGTATAGATGACGGTGTTTTCCCTGACCTAATGAAATATAGTAAGGTTATCCCACTATTTAAAAGTGGTGACACTAAAGAACCTAACAACTATAGGCCAGTGTCTGTTTTGCCGGTTCTCAGCAAAGTCTTTGAAAAGTTGATGCTGTCTTGGATGCTTCATCATTTTAATAAACATTCCATCTTTCACCAACAACAATACGGTTTCACTAAAGGTCGTTGTACAACTGACGCCGGTGTCACTTTGATTAAGGAAATATTTGGTGCTTGGGAGGAAGCACAGGATGCTATTGGTGTCTTTTGTGACCTCTCAAAAGCATTTGATTGCGTTGACCACGAACACTTTTGCTGAAATTAGATCACTACGGGATAAGAAACTCTGCGCTCCGTCTTATGAGATCTTATTTAGAAGAGAGACAGTTAAAGGTTCATGTTAACGGTATTAACTCGCAGGGCTCTGGGATGAATATGGGCGTTCCTCAAGGTTCAATACTGGGTCCCTTTCTCTTTTTAGTCTATATAAATGATTTGCCATTTATATTTAAAAATGAACCACGAATGGTGCTTTTTGCAGATGATACATCATTAATTTTTAAAATAGATCGACGTACAAATAATCTTGACGACGTAAACAGCTCCATTCTTCAAGTGCATAATTGGTTCACCATTAATAATCTAGCACTTAATGAGAAAAAAACAAAATGTATTAAATTCAGTTTACCAAACGTGCGTAGTAACGATAGTGATATTGTTTTGAACGGTCAAAAGTTAGAATTTGTCGACGAGACAGTATTTTTAGGCATTACGTTAGACAATAGGCTACAATGGGGTCCGCATATAAAGGCGCTTTCGGGGAGATTGAGCTCAGCTGCTTTTGCAGTTAGACAGATTAGACAGCTCACGGACGTAGATACAGCTAGGCTTGTCTATTTTAGTTATTTCCACAGCATTATGTCGTACGGCATTTTGTTGTGGGGTCGAGCTGCAGAAATAGAATCAATATTTATTCTACAAAAGCGGGCTATCCGAGCAATATATAACTTACGCCGTTGCGAATCGCTGAGAGAATTGTTTAAAACGATAAATATTTTAACGGTGCCCTGTCAATAATATATGAAAATATAATGTATGTAAGGAAAAACAGGCAATTGTTTGAAAAAAGAAGCGATAGACACAATTTTAATACTAGAGGCAAAAATAAGTTAGCTATACCGCAATTCAGACTGTCCAAAGTACAGAAATCCTTTATGGGGTTAGGTATTAAATGCTATAATAAAATACCAAATAGCATACTAGATCTCAGTGAAAGTAAATTTAAAACATATATTAAGCGCGAATTATGTAATCAAGCCTACTACACACTGACAGATTATCTTGAAGATAAGAATGCTTGGCAGCATGTTGGTTCGGCTCCACTGGACAATACTCAAATGTAGTCAGTAGCTAAATTCCAATAGTAGGTATTTTAATACATAATTTAACACTTTAATTCTAATGTAGACAATCTAGTTTCCTTATGGCATCGAGCATTTCTTTATTGAAACAAAGAGTTTCCTTTTCTTGTATAGAAGCACTAATTCTATGGATTGTCAGTATGCATATGTGAGCACCATGTTGGACTTTAAGTTAATTTTTATTAATTTTTTTTTTAATTTTTGTAAGTTATTAGTATAATGCGTCAAGCGTGTCTTTGCATTGTTCTTACATATGCGTACAGTATTGAAATATGTATCAGAGACATTGTAGAACAGACTTTTTTTAAAAAGAGTAACGAATGGAGTTTCTTGCTCGTTCTTCTCCATTCGAATCTACTTTTTGGAATGAGCACCTAGCTTCACCTAGTTTCACTGACGGACTGACTGACAGACTATTATTTATTTTGTATTTGTTGACGTTTCAAAAGCACCAAACTATGGTTTAATTGAAATAAATGCTTTGACTTTGACTTTGACATTAGGAACATGAGGATTGTTAGGGATCGTAACTGGGCCTCCAGTAACCTCACTCACACGACGAAACACAACACAAGCGTTGTTTCACGTCGGTTTTCTGTGAAGCTGTGGTATCAGTCCGGTCGCTTTTTTATTTTATGTCGTCTTTGTAAATAAGTGAATGTGTAGCGAAAAAGTGGAATATTGTTTTTAATTTAATATTTTTAGAGTGAATGAAAAACCTTAAGAAATAAATCAACTCACGGTAGATTTTCTGCTATCCAGGAACAGAAGCAGTTCATCTTAATTCCTATAGCCACGTGGTCTCCTTCACATTCCACCCCGCCCAAGGTCACTGCCACCAAATGTCCTTGACGGATAGCTGGCGCTCCAGAATCATCCTTAACAAAATGGCATAGAGTTCATTGTTTATTGGTTACAAAGAATGAGAGATTGTTACTGGATGTAGATAATGTGTGTGTGTGTATTTTTTCGAAATATTGTATTATATTTGTTATTTAAATTAGAAACAAAGAAAATCAGGATTCAACCTGAGATTTTTGCCACATACTGGACATTTTAGATTAATAGACAAAGTTCGGTACTTGTAATTTAAATTCAAAATTGACTATTTAATTAAGAGTCCATGTTGCGTCATTTGGTAATTGCCTTCATTCTTCACAAATAATAGACGGGTTGAACGTCGTCGTTTCGTTGACAGTTTTCATTATTTCTAAGCAAGATGCATGCATTTGTAGGCCGCCTATTGTTTATGAAGGATGCTTGCATTCGTCAAATGACGCATCGTGGACACTGTTCCTATTAATTTAAGAAATGTACCTACATCACTTATGAAGTGCTCTTCAGCTGCATAACACACGACTTCGTTCGTATCTGAAATCATAAACCAATCAGAGCGCATCAATATCACGTTATTTTCTAGAGCCCTCATTGGTTGTATCTATGTTGCTATTAGTATTTGAAACACTAGGACGTAATATCACGTATGAACGTAATATCGTTACAATTGGAATAATTAGATATTCCACGTTGCATTGAAATAATTAGGTAGTAATTGTAGGGTTTAATGAAGTCTAGATACAGTTACATCTACATTCATTGGATGTCTTTGTGTGGAATTTTGATGAATATACATAATTATGAGTATTTAGTTCTATAGTGCACTTTTTAAATAAAACTAACCCAATTGGTTAGTTTTTTTAGCCTTTTGTTTTGTTTTTACTGCCAGTATCGAGTGAATTGGCATTAAAATTTTAGTCGAACGAATATAAACGTCAATGTATGAAATTCTAATAATGTTGACATTAACTAAAAATAATACGTATACCTACTGAGAAAAGCTCTACTAGTATCGAGTCACAGAGGGACTCTTCCTCATGAGCAGCGTGGGTGGTCACGGCGACGTCGGTCACGCAGCCTGTCTGGGCAAGGTCTTAGTATCTGTGACTCTAAACTAGTGAAGCTTTTCTCAGTATATTTTCGTTTTTTCTTTTTTTTTCTTCTGGCATAAGCCGTTAAACGAGCAGATGGATCACCTGATGGTAAGCAATCGGCGTCGCCCATGGACACCTGGAACACTAAAGGCGTTACAAGTGCGTTACCGGCTTTTTGGGGATTAGGAGTTTAAGGATCGTTGGGGATTCAGGGATTGGGGAGAGACACAGTTATTTTTGAGTAGGTATGTGTCACCATAGTTATTTTAAAAAGTTCTGACATTGTCGATTGTCAATGTCAAACTGATACATTGATTTTTATATTCCACTAGTATATTAACTCCATTTGTCTAGTAGGGCTGCTCCAGTTACCGATGAAGAAAAACTTGAAGCGATAGAAATGAACTGTTATGTATAAAAGTTAAACTGTCAAACACCGCGAGGACACCGGTTATCGCAAGCTATTGTTCTTTAATTGTGTCTATAATGACGGTACTCAAACTGTTAAATAGATGACTTACTTATTGCGTATATGGCCGGCAATACTCTATCAACTAATTTCTTGCAAGTCTGAACGTTCACAAAACCAAAGATTTCGATTGTCAATTTGTTTTCCTGGAAATAAAATAAATATTAAGTTTCTCACTCCTAATAACTTTGAGGAATAAATGAAATGAAAACATGCTTTTTTGATCTTTACACGAGCCGCATAGAGCTTAACGGGTTGCCGAGGCTCCAGTTCGAAGTACAGGAGTAGGAACGGGGTGGTTTTTAGTCAGTAAAAGTCTGACAGTCCCTCTCGCCTCACCCGGGCGAGAGATGTCATTGGATGATTTTCCCCTCTCAAGATATTGTTGCATATGCTCTAAAATAGCATTCTAAAAGTCGTTCTATTGAGTATGCTCAAAAATGTTCAAAAATCGAACGCCTGTTGATTTGCAAGCATGTCCAGAATGAGCAAGCTAATTTAAAACAATATTCTGGCACTAAGTGACTAGGGTGCAATTGAAGCATTATGAATTTAGCATATGTTACAGTACCTATAATTAATGTTAAAAGATAACATGTACACAAATAAAAAGGTTGTACAAGGTAGTATATACCTTCGCTCCAACTGTTCTTCGCCCACTTATATGACGTTTTTTCGATAAACTTGGTCTTCTTCTCATTATTTCTCGTCGCCTATCCTTTATAACATTCTTCTGCAATATAAAATAACAAAACATTATATTAATTCATAATACTATTGTAGAGGTATAATCTTGTGTTATTATCGTATTTAAATCCTAGTTAGCTGCCTTGTTGGCCGAGTGGTCGCTAGTGACTGCCGGGTCTCGGGTTTGATTCCCGGGTCGGGCAAAGTATTACTGGGTTTTTAATAAAAATCCCAGTAGTAGCACAGACTCTGGAATTGTGCCCGGTGTATGAGCAATAGGCTCACCCCCTATTACATGGGACTTACAACATAAATAGTGAAAAATGTGTTATATTGTGCAACCCTTCGGGGATAATAGGCGTGATATTTTGTTAAATCCTTGTTAACTGTGATTGATGCGGAATGTGAATATATTTTTTCATTTAAAAAGCCATTTAAAAGCTATATTAGTAAAGTTATAATATCGAATGAAATCCTGTAGTTTTATGAAGTAACAATTAATATAATATTTATATTATAACTTTCGTTAGTTATAATGTTTTTTGCCAATGCTAAAAACATAATCATTAGAAAAGGAACTTTTTGAAATTTTTGGAATCATATTTGAAATGATACAAGGGCAATGGGATTGGCGTGTTTAACGTTTTTATATAAAGATATAATACGTACATACACATGAGATGTGTATATGTTTTTTTGTCTGTAAAGTCAAGGATACATTGGGGATAAATGTCCCACAAAATGTATCGGCAGACTTCACTTAACATGCCTATGTTAAGTGAAGTCTGCCTAGCTTCACTGATGGACAGACTGACAGACTATTATTTATTTCATGTTTGTTGACGTTTCAAAAGTACCAAATTATGGTTTAATTGAAATAAATGCTTTTGAGTTTGAGTTTCGCTCGATACATTATTATCAGGTGAAATCGGCAGTGTTGCACGGTTTTAAAAAGTACTGATAGTTCATAGAAAACTTACCATCGATGAGTAATTACGTGAGAGTCGCATATCTCCTTTTGCACTGGACAGTTTAACAGTCGGAACCTAAGCATAGTGGAAACAAAGTAAAACTTGTATAGAGGTATATAAAAATAATCTATCAAAAAACTAAAATAGTTTATATTGTTAGTTTCATTATTTGTCAAGCTATATTTCGCATTATGTATTCTACATCAAATATATTTTACCATGTATTCATCATTGCTCGCTCTAGCCCTTACTTGCACTCCTAGAAGCTGAAATTTAAAAAGTAATTGTTAGATTTTTCTTACTGTCTGCACTTTTGATGCACTGTTGGTGCGGTGGCTGGGCAACCGGCTGCCGTGCAACGTGCCGCGGGTTCGATTCCCGCACGGAACAACACTTTGTGTGATCCACAAATTGTTGATCCGGGTCTGGGTGTCATGTGTGTGAGTGGGTGTCTTGTATATTTGTAAACGCACCCACAACACAGGTGACAATCCTAGTGTGGGGCAACGTTTTTTTTTTAAAAAAATAAATAAATAAATAAAATTAATGTCTACGTGCCTACGATAACTTACGCAGTAGCGTGAAAGCTTAGGACTACTGTCCACGATGCGTCATTTTACGAATGCTGCATGCATTCGTCAAATACCGATAGACGAATTTGTCGTTGCCACTTTGTTGCAAGTTTTCATTGTTTCTAAGCACAGTGCAAGCATTCGTCATTTGTAGGCCGCCTATTGCCATTTGACGAATGCACGTAGCCGGTGAGTGAATGACGCAACGTTGCCGCTCCGTGCACACAGTTTTGATTGTTTCTTCGCAAGAATCAAGCATTCGTCTTGTAATCGTAACGTGGGGTTACGTATAATGGGCCTTCATTTTCGATTTTTCTGTTATTATCATTAAAGTAACGTGTGCTTCAATACAAGAATAGTGACAATTGAATACGTAGTGTCAAGTAATTGCAATAGCAATTAGGCGGAAAATAAAAATAAAATTCTGTCGCATCTTGTATATTTTTTTTTTACTTTATCATGTATTATATTTTAGGATTCTGTATTGTTTTATTTGTGTTTAATTTGTTAACATTAAAATTGTCCTATACTTATTTATATGGATTCGTTTTTAAATCGATTAATAAATTATACTGTCATTATAGCCTAATCATTTCATTTATGAGAAATGCCTCCGAGTAAAAAAAAAACTAGTTGCAATAAAACATATAGGTGATCAGAATTATATAAACGAAATTTTATTTAAAAATAATCTACTGTTCAAATAAAATTTTATTTAGTAAGTTTAAAGATCAATCCCTGAATACCCAACGATCCTCAAATTCCTAATCCTAAAAGGCCGGTAACGCACTTGTAATTAGTGTTCCAGGTATACATAGGCGATACCAATAATAATTGTTTACCGTTATCATGATCCAACTGCTCCTTTACCGCCTTATCCCATGAAAAAAATATAACAATTTGTCATTCTAAAAATAATTTCATCGGTCTGTGGAATCATGAAAATAAAAACTGTGAGTGCAAAGTACGTATATCGATCCAATTAGTGTAGTGTTTTATTATCATGAATTTTATGAATTTTCTCACGCCTCGCCGAGTTTTATTACGTGATTGAAAAACATGCACTATTGTGGTGGATTTGTTTTTTATGATTCTACCAAACAATTGAAGCACGGCAGTTATTTTACTCAGAACTGAACGAGGATTAGCGTACCATTTTTATTTTGATTTAGATTTTTATTCAAACTTAATTTAGAATTTATATTCATAAATTTTATTTATCCATTAGTTAATTACTGTATAATATTATTAGCCGCTAGCGACACACTATTTGATAAGTCGTAATTTGACATTCAACATCATCAACAGCCCATAAGCAGCCATTGCTGATTAATAGCCTCTTCTCACACGGAGAAGGTTTGAGCATTAATCATATTCATAACGCTTGCTCAATGCTGGTTGGCGATTCCAAATTTACAATTATAAATTTTAATTCCTCACGATGCTTTCCTTCACCGTTTGTCAGTGGTATTTAGATAATCTTAGAAAGTACATATAACTCGGAAAAAGTCACTTTAGTTCCTGCTGTTGGTAGGTTTCGAACCCACGTACTCATGACGTTTATATAGTATAGTAGGTAATTCTGATAAAATATAATGAAAGTGCTTCTTTCAGCCACAAATGAGGTTGTTATCAAAACCAAATTGTGTTCTTATTGCTGTTATAATACGTACCGCATACTCATAGTCCATGTTTCCATTCATAGATGAGTTTTGCCGAAACTGTCGTTGTTTCGTGGGGTATGTATCGTCCATTCTTATAGGTATCAATGGGTTTGGTGAAAATTTACTTTTCTAAAAATATTATAAGATTGGTACACATTACAAAAAAAGTATAGAAATCTTATATTTTTTATCGTATAGGTACGAGAAAATGTCTTTTAACCGACTTCAAAAAAGAAAGAGGTGCTCAGTTTCTCTTATGTCGATTGTCTCCCGGTTGGCAAAACCGATTTTGTTTCCAAAAAGTGTTTGTTACACTTAGGAGAAGGTTTTAGTATATTAATAAATCGACTTCAAAAAAGGGAGAGTTATCTAAATAGTTGTAGTATTATAAGCGGTGGTCAGGTGAAACTGTTGAAAAGTGCTAGAAATTAGTAGAAAAATTAACATAACTTTTCTAGCCACTATATATTTATTATAATAATCCAATTTCAATAGTTTCTACCATTAATTTTACACTTACTTTCCCATTTGACTCTCGTGACGAATAGCGATTGGATGGCGTTATGCCCTGGCGCTCATGTGATCTTTGGTTATAGTTCTCCCGGTTCGAGTACTGGGACAGTCTCTGGGCAGGTTTCATTGACACGCCCATCCTACTAGTCGTGGGAGCCATTCCACCGTGTTGTTGTGATTTATCAAATTGAGATCGTTGTGGGAATCCGTCCTGCTGAATCGCAATTTTTTTATTTATAGATGTTTTATCTGTCGAGCGCGGGTTTGCCATACTTGTGTGGGTAAATGTACACGCACATTGTATCTGTTTGCGTTCGCTTGGGAACGCCCAGTTTTGGCCAGCATGCCAATGGATGAGCTTGCTGCGAGTTACGCACACAGACGCGCGTGTCTATACGCACTACAACTACAACTATGGCTCACCCGCGCTCGTGTCGTGAGATGAAAGAACTATACTAATAAAAAAATTGCGCTTTGTCAGATGGTTGCGCGACGTTCAGCGCATCGTGTATTGTGATATGCTGCGTATGAATACGAGCCCTTAGCATGGCTTGAAACCAATCGAGTTCTCACACCAAACAGCCACGTTAAGAAGAAAAAAATACTTTTTATTTTAAAGGCAATGTTTTAAAATGATTTTTTTTAACTTACCTCACTACTACGTTCATGTTCCGTAGAACTACCTTGCCTCAGAGGTTTAGGTGAAGTTACTTCACAAGACTCCTATCGACAAAATTTATATTGAATACAAAATATGTTAAGACTTTAAAGAAAACTATCTATAAGTTTAACCATAAGTGTTGCATGCAATATGCAAGCACGGAATTGAAGCCAAGAGGATATTGGTGTCTTCTCTAACCCACATTTATTATAGATCTTATTTCCAATGTTTAAAGACTACTTTTGTATGAAAAAAATCGGTAAACTATTGTAAATGGGAAAGTATTGAAGACTGTCTGCTTGTCTCGGCATAGACAGGTAAATAACGATAATTGGATTACTTATGTTATCCAGGTCAAAATCGGCCTGTATCCAAAAACTAACAAAAAACCCTTTTTGTAATATTTTACGAGAAAGAAATATTCCATGTATAATGTTTTAGGACTAACTAAATGGTAATCATAGTATTAGTATGGAAGACATAGAAATAAATATTATTTATGGTGCAGAAATTATAAAAAAGGAACAGAAAAAGCTTTAAAAATAGCACATTACTTACATGATTATCGTCCTCAGAAGAGCAAATGCGTTTATTTTCTCCTGCATGGAGTGGCTGTCGAGTATTTGTAGTTACCTACACAGAATGTGACTTAATTGGACATTTTGAAAACATTTTAACATCACATCAGGTTATTAGCGTCATCGAGGCTAAGACACCTGCTTCTCATGCATGAGAATGCGGGTTTGAAACCTACCAATGGCAAGCATCAATGTGACTTTTTCCGAGTTATATATACCTTCTTAGATTATTTTGACATCACTGACAAACGGTGAAGAAAAACATCGTAAGGAAACCTGCTATTTCCTACCTGGACCTATAATTTCTTATTATAAATTTGAAATCGCCAATCGTAATGAATAAGCGTACTCAAATCTTCTCCGTGTGAGAAGAGGCCTTTGGTCAGCAGTGGCCACTTATAGGCTGTTAATGTATGTAATGTATTAGGTTCATTAATTAGAACTATGAGCCTCTAACATGGCTTGAAACTAGTAGAGTTCTTCATCGAGCAGTCACGTGAGTAAGCCGAAAATATAACAAATAATCTCATCAGGCTAAAAGTTAATAATACATTTGTGCAAAATTATTTTAACTATTTAGGATATAATATCTGTACTGCACTTCGACAAATTGTTCACTGATGTGAGTATTTTCATAATTGGGTAGTTAGTCAACTGTCTCTTAAGATTTTTAAATGATATTTAAGTTACCTACATCTTTAACTAGTTACTTCCTCGCGGTAATTTTTTATAGCTCAAAGCCTTTCTCGATAAATGCACTATCCACCATATAAAGATTTTTTCAAATCGGACTAGCTTTTCCTTAGAATAGCCCGTTCAACCAAACAAACAAATAAACTCTCTTCACTTTTACATAATAGTATAAGATATGAGATAAGATGTAACAGCGAAAACTGATTTACTACTTTTTTAGTTCACATGACTAATTTTAAGAAACCTGTGAAATCCTTACTTGTCCTTTCTATCTAATATTATAAATCGGAAAGTGAGTTTGTTTGTTTGTTCCACTTTCACGCCGTAACTACTAAAGCCATTGCTTTGAATTTTTGCAGATGTGAAGTTAGAAGTCTGGATTAAATAATAGGGTACTTTTTATCCCGGAAAAAAATTATATTCTCGAGGGAAAACGAAATTATTGGTATAGATGGCGCTGTGTGTATTGGTATATGTCACATAGGCTACTTTTATCCTTTTGCGACGCAAGCGAAGCCGCGGGTAAAAGCTAGTAATATATATTGAGTAAGATCTCACATCATCTTTGCAATGACCCCAACTGAGGATGGTGACATTCGAATCCACAGGAGTCAGCGCACTTTCCCCAATAATCGGTATGACGTTGCCAGGTTTGTCATCTGTCATACTCGCGAACGTGTACACCAGGGCAATGTCAGCGGTCCAACCCTTATATTTTGGATGTGTTATTACTCTCTCAATAGGTAAGTAGTTCTCATAACCAGTGTCATACATCTTTTTTGTTCCAATAACAACGAATGACGCGGTGAGTTCAGCGTCAATCGCATTATTGTCAATGCTGAGGACAATGAAAAAATGTTATATATTAACTGGTAATATAAGTCCATTTTAATTGTAACAGGTATTCATTTGTTGCATATACTGGGTGGCGATATAATTCTTTAAGGCATAAACTAAGTTTAAAAAACAAAATAACTTCAGCCCCCTCTTTCTGAAGTCAGTTAAAAATAAAGACAGGAGCTGATGTGGTCGTATTGTTGTATATTGTACACAAATCATAGTTTTTGTCCGAGTCGAAAGATAAGTAAGTAAGGATACGCTCACAATTCGTATAGGAAATGACTTGTACTTTGGTTTTTTTTTATAGCATAAGCCGGTAAACTAGCAGACTGATCACCTGATGGTAAGCAATCGGCGCCGCCCATGGACACTCGAAACACCAAGGCGTTACAAGTGCGTTACCGGTTACCGGCCTTTTGGGAATTGGGAATTTGAGGATTTTGGAGGATTTGGGGATTCGTGAGACGGGGACTAAGGAGAGAGGTAATTGGGCCTTCTCAATTATTACTTAAAAAAATAATTAGTGTGTTATTTTATAATTACGCCCGTTGTCTGAAAGGTTTCTCAATTTTAAGTTGTAAGTACTTAAATATCGTGCCATCTCTGTCATTTTACAAAGAATTTGTAGCGATAGAACTATATATTATATAAGCGCGACTTAATATTGAGTAACATAGTTAAAATTTGATACTTACAAGCAATGAGCAGCTGTGATGACGACATTAGTATGTATAATAGTACCAGTACATGTACGTTTCCTGCCATCCGTGAAAACTATGCTGAAATATAACAAATAATTGTTGATTTCATTTTTATTTAAAACAATATTTATTATTACAGAATAGAATACAATATTTAATTCCGATCAATTACAACCATCCCAAGCGCGAACACCATACACCATTCAATCAACCATCATACAAAGCTCACAATCCACAATTGGCATACAATCTACACACACACAAAATTCATAACAAAACACAAACAGTGTCAGTAGTCAAATAGTCAGAAGAAGAGGGAAAAGGAGATTTAGTATTCAGCTTTAGAAGGGGGCTATGAGCATCGTTTTTCCTGCAGGTCAGGGAACGCGTTACCCATTTTCACTGAGTCAATCCCGAGAAGGAGAGACCCCTACATCAAATAACAATATTTACTCAATTAATGCAACATATGTATGATGTTCCGGTGGTGGTGGGTCTGTTTTTTCGTACACGGGTTCTTCTCCTGGCTGTCCGCCTGAAAAAATTAAATTGCCATGATGAAAATAATGCAATAAGGCACGGCTGATGTTGTATGACGTTTTCAATATTGATTTCATATGAAAAACACCGCTGGCTCTGATTTTATGTTAATTTGTTTTTTCATTTGATGTTCTGAGTTATTGATTTAGTTGATAATTTTAACATAACAGTGACGGTTAATAGGTGAATTTATAAGACTTGAATTAGTGTGCATATTGCCATGCCATTTGCCATGCTTGGGCACTAATGGGCCGGTTCAATGGGAGTGATACCACGGCCTCACAGAAAATCGACGTGAAACAACGCCTGCGTTGTGTTTCGTGGTGTGAGTGAGTTTACCGGGGGCCCAATTACCCATTCCCAATGAATCTCCAACAATCCTTAATTTCCTAATCCCCAAAAGACCGGTACCACACTTGTAACGCCTTTGGTGTTCCGGGTGTCCAAGGGTAACGCCGATTGCTTACCATCAGGTAATCCATCTGCTAGTTTACCGGCTTATCCGATAAAAAGAAAATTACTTACCATACAAAACCTTCATTACTTACCTTCATCGAGAGGATCTGGCGATGGTTTAACTTCTATAAAACGAATTTTAATTTTAGATTTGATTTGAATAACATGTATTATGGTACTTTAGTCCTACTGAAAGTATTATAAATTGTATTGAGATTTACAAGTATTGAATTTTAGCTTTCTTACTGCGGCTTTGCACACGTTGTGTAGGATGTTATCATACTTAAAAACCTTCCTCTTAAATTACTCTATCTGTTAAAAAAACCGCATCAAAATCCGTTGCATGGTTTTAAACATCTAAGCATATATAGGGACGGACAGCGGCAACTGACATCGTTTTATACTATTTAGTGAAGATTTTATTTATTACTATATTTATATTAGTACTAGTTTCTTGTATAATACGTACCTGGACCTGACTGTGGAGGTGAGGGCGATGGCGGTAGCGGTTGTCCTTCAGTTGGCGGCGTCTGTTGGTCATCTTGTCCCGTAACAAAAATATAATTTGTCACTGTTAAACAAGCGACCGCACTAAACACAATTTTAAGCAAGAACATTCCGAAATCATTTCCATACCGAATTGCGGCCAAGTAATGAGATATATTTTTTTAATTAAATTGATAAGCCGACTGAACGCCTTGTTTGGTATGTAAAACTGTTCAATATGTTACCTACATGTGACACGCTGTTCATAGCAAAGAAATATTGCTCCATTTTTATTTTGGTTTATCGGCTGAGTACCGGAAAATATTGCAATTGTGATTATTGTTTTATTAGCTTATTCGCTGTTTGGTTGTGTATTCGAATGACTATAGAATAAGACTTTTTACTTTCTTCGTGTTTTGCCATAGTTATATTTTAACTTTGAAGTATATGTTTATATATAAGAAGTATCCACTCTGTACTTACCTAATCGAAAGAACTTTGTTGTTTAAATACAGTGTGCATTCATTTTTATTCGTAATCAGATGTGTATGCATTTTATTGGATTATTTTATGACAATATTTCATTTATGTCAAAAATCCAACTGAATAAATACAAAATCGAACTCAATTTTGTCAATATTATCATGTTTCCTTACAGAAAAAAACATGGCTGATATTTATATTTTACACAAAAAATACATTTTCAAACCATTTATTTTATTAAAGGCGAGCCCACGGTCCCTCCATTTCCAATAAGTGGGTCGGCTGAATGTTAGAATGCACATACATTAAATTGAAGAACTCGGGGTTCAAACTGACCTCTGTACCTAGTTGGACTCACAATGCAGCGATCTCAAGTTAAATAAGTTCTCTTAAGAACCACTGAAGGGGCTCTGGAGTTAGGTCAAGGGCCTGGGCCAAAAATATTGTCAAGATTAGATAGCATTTGATGTTGACAGACTCTCTGGCACGTTTGTCCACACGAGGGCACCGATATTGTGTCAATGTGTTATTCTCACAATAGATACTTTTCGCTACCGGTCAGCCATATTTTTAGGTTAAGAGATGCCCATGTTGTAGTAAAAGATTGGGTTTCTAGTTTAAGAAGTACTGTTTTCATAATGTACTTGTAAGTCTTCGATTTCAAGTTATTTATAGTTTGTTAGCGCGTGCTTTCAAAACGATCGTGATTGTGTTAATGTACCTACCTTACCTAAATAGAATCCCAATGTATTATTCAAAAACAGACAATGAATTCCAAGTTAGTGTTAATGTCTGAGCTAATGTAATAAAGTTGCAGCTGATTTTTAAAAATATTAGTTTTATTATTTATCAGGAAGAATGAGCATGTTGAAAAATAAATGGTTAAAAATGAAACAAAAACAAGTCCATTAATGACTTAATTAATTTTAATGAAACATAATAACCCTACCTTGTACCTATAAACCTTTTTGTACAGCGGTCAGCCTTTCAAAGATAACAAGGAAGTCAGTTTCTCGGAAATTTTATTTAGTGTAATTTTTTTATTCCGGTTACGGTTTTCCACAGCCAGTTAGGGGTCTCGACTCGGCTATTAGCGCAGTGGCGAGAAAAGAATTGGTGGTAGAAACGACCATTATGTTGTGGATTGTAACCGACGGGTTAGTCGTATAATCCCATGTAACGTTCGGTCGTACTGCAGCGCTTAGGGTAAGACTATATAAGCCGCTATGCGACGTGCGATGCGTAAAATAATAAATGAAAGATACCAATCTGTTGTTGTTTAAGAGCTTAAAGTATGTTGATTGACAACAGACTTTTAAAACAATAGTTACACCTGTCAAATATAGATAAAAATACTGAGGCAGTTCCTCAGGATTTTATTTTATATTTGACAATTACGGATGAAATAAAAAGTAAGTATGGAAACAAAGAGAGACTCAAGCTGTGTAAAATGAGTCTAGCATTTTAGACGACTATATTTTAGTTATTATACATTGAGTTATTTTTATTGTTACTTGTATTTTTTTGTATCGCTAATCACTGCATAGTGTATAGCTAAGTCCTAAAACATGTATAATATTGACATTACTTCCTCCTTAAACTTCGGTCGTTATGTTAATGTAGGATGTTACGCAGTTTATCATTGATGTAATAAGATTTACAGTTAAAGACCTTGAGACCTTGGGGAATTTGGGACGCGTGTACATCTTGGCAGAGTACATTTTATGCTGATGTGGATTATTCAGACATATGTATGTACGTAGATGATGTTGGTTAGTTTTGTTTGTTTAGATAGAATGCAATTTTGTACTAAGCGAACAATATTGTGTTCTACGGTTCTATGTAGTACATCAAACGCGCTTAAACATAAACTCAGACGAAAATACTCATAGAGGAATCCAAAGTGCATTGAAAACAACGAATAATTTCCATTCCTTTCATACTGATTTATGAAGCCGTAAATAACCACATAGTTTACAATCCTCACATACATCAAAACAGATTAACTCTAGCAATTCCGAAATAACTGCGACCGAGAAAATGGCGGAAAAGCTATGCTTTATAACCACTGTTGTCTAGGAAACGGAGTGCTTAACTGAAATAATTTGTAGAAAATAAGCGCAAAATTTACTGCGCTCGGGAGTCTCTCGACTTGAATTTATTGTACGCAGCGCAATTGTGGAATTTTAAACAGTCTGCCCGCAGTGCAGAAGGGAACTTTTTGAGGTTGTAGTACGTGCGCCAGGCCAAGGGACGAACTATCGTGCGTATCGTAAATCTGGCAACAATGCGTACACCGTTTAACGTTGCTGAATGGGCAGGTTCCTTTTGTTTGTTTTTGTTATGAGCTTGTACTCTCTTTTGGCCTTTTTTGAAATGGAGGTGGAAAACTACTGGCTTTTGTTTCAAGGTGTTTTCCGTTTCGAATAAGGTCACGGGTCTTTATGATTGAAAATTGTAAGAAATTGCTTAACTTCTTCGTGACCGATACGAAGAATTTAAGCCATTCTGGCAAGCATTCTGACAATGGTAAATGATATAAACAAATTAAACAGAAACCCCAAATCATTGGATGGTTTAATAACTTTTATTTATGCATTTATTAAACAATACACTTGTCAACGTTTCTCCATTATACAATGACATAACTATTGCAAAACTGCATCTTATTCAACACTGCTGAATATAAAAGTGACAGAAATAGGAATGTGATTTACATACCTAAACAGCATAATACAAAATAACGGCGACATTTATGGTAATTCTATGTAAAATCTTGACTTCACTTTAACGTTGCATGGACGAACATTCCATGGTATTCAACAAGTCACAACTAGCTTAAGTCCCAAGTTTTTAGTTCCCCAGTATTTGCGATGTGTCGGAATGTCAGCTGAACTTTGGAACAATGTTCCTGCTTATCATCGTGCGAGAAGTTCTGACGCCTTGCAGCTGTCTTCTGAGAATACACTGCTTTAGTAGCTTTAGTATTTGTTGATCAAATCTGTAATCATATTCAACATTATTGTGGAATTTTGATTTATAAAGGTACTATCTTTTACTCGCGGCTTCGCTCGCGTCACAAAAGGATAAAAGTAACCTATACCAATACACACAGCGCCATCTATACCAATTCTTTTGTTTTCCCTCGGGAATACCAAAATTTTCCGGGATAAAAAGTACCCTATTATTTAATCCGGACTTCTAATTTTACGTCTGTAAAAATTCAAAGCAATCGGTTTAGAAGTTACGGCGTGAAGACGGAACAAACAAACAAACAAACTCACTTCCCATTTATAATCCTTACTAATATTATAAATCTGAAAGTGAGTTTGTTTGTTTGTTCGTTTGTTCTACCTTCACGCTGTAACTACTCGATTGCTTTGAATTTTTGCTGACGTAAAGTTAGAAGTCCGGATTAAATAATAGGGTACTATTTAACCCGGAAAAAAATGATATTCCCGAGGAAAAACAAAAGTATTGGTATAGATGGCGCTGTGTGTATTGGTATATGTCACATAGGCTACTTTTTATCCTTTTGTGACGCGATCAAAGCCGCGGGTAAAAGCTAGTATACAATAAATGATTTACTCAAACAAGAATTTTAACCAAGTATGTACCTATACAATGCTCAAAGCAATGAATTCCGTTTTATATGAAATCTGTAGGATAGATGTGAGTGTTCTTGCTTGAAGTCTCTTTGATCGCATCAGCCGGCATCGCAGTAACCATGTAACATATATCACTCAGGAAACAATCAAATCTTCGTCACTCACGGCATATTGCTCTCTCACTCGCACTTTCGGGCGCCCGTTTAGTACCATTAAATAGATTGCTGTTTTTCGCACATTTCCTGCCTCCGTTGTATGTATTATATTATAGGAATTGGATTGGGAACAATAAAATTCGGTGTTACTGACTACGGGGATTTGTTGGGGAGACTTTGTTCAAAGATACTTTTGTTTCGAGTTCAAGTTCACGGTGTGGTGGGCAAGATGTTTGATTAAGTCATTGTAGTTGACTTTAGTATATGGCCGAGTAGTCTTTAACTATGAACTGTTACTACGGGTAATAAGTAATGTTCATATGTTCAATTTCGTGATTGTGCCTGGCTTGATCATTATTATAATTAATATAACTTGACCCAAAATTTGGTTGATAGGAAGTATAGTAACATAAAAAGGTACTATTACAAGAAAAACATGACATAACATAACATCACGCCTTTTTATCCCCGAAGGGGTAGGCTGAGATGCACATTTCGGCACTTAATGCCACTGTACAATGTTTACAATGTTTACACCTACTTTTCAATATTTATGTTATCAGTATATCTATGTAATAGGGGGTGAGGCTATTGCTATATAACGGGCACAATTCCAGACTCCGTGCTACTGATATTTTTTTTAAAGTCCCCGTAATACTTTGCGAACCGAACCCGAGACCCCTTGCTCGGTCAGTCAAACTACCTCAAAGCAAAATGTATAAAATAACAATCTAGTAACACGTTAATACCTAACTAACAGCCTAGATCTTGTAGTCACTAAACTCCATCTGACAACAGCAAGGCAATGTTCCTTGGTAACTTCGTGTAGCCCAATCGGTTTGACACAGGCCAACTTTAAACCCAGAGAGGGTTGGTCAGCAAACA